AAAGAAAGAAAGAAAGAAAGAAAGAAAGAAAGAAAGAAAGAAAGAAAGAAAGAAAGAAAGAAAGAAAGAAAGAAAAGAAAGAAAGAAAGAGAAAGGAAGGAAGGAAGGAAGGAAGGAAAGAAAGAAAGAAGGAAAGAAAGAAAGGAGGGAGGGAGGGAGGAAGGAAGGAAGGAAAGAAAGAGAAAGAGAGAGAGAAAGAGAGAAAGAAAGAGAAAGAAAGAAAGAGAGAGAGAAAAAAAGAAAGAAAGAGAAAGAGAGAAAAGAAAGGAAGGAAAGGAAAGGATAGGAAAGGGAAAAGATGGGAAAGGAAAGGAAAGGAAAAGAAAAGAAAAAGATGACCTTAGGTTAGGCAAAGATTTTTAAAAGGTATAACACCAAATACATGATTCAAAAAATACGAAATGGATGAATTTGCACTTCACCAAATTTTAACACTTTTGCTCTTCAAGTCACCATTAAGAAAATGCAAAGACAAGCCACAGACTGGGAGAAATATTTGCAAATCATGTATCTGATAAAGGGCTATATCCATGGTATGTAAAGAACTATAGAAAATCACTAGTAAGATAAACAACTCCATTTAAGAATGCGCACAAGTGCTGGGTGCAGTGGCTCACGCCTGTAATCCCAGCACGTTCGGAGGCCAAGGCAGGTGGATCACCTGAGGTCAGAAGTTCAAGACCAGCCTGGCCAACATGGTGAAACCCCGTTTCTACTAAAAACACAAAAATTAGCCAGGCGTGGTGGTGGGCATCTATAATCCCAGATACTCAGGAGGCTGAGACAGGAGAATTGCTCGAACCTGGGAGGCGGAGCTTGCAGTGAGCCGAGATGGTGCCATTGCACTCCGGCCTGAGCAACAGAGCCAGACCCTGTCTCAAAAAATATTAGTAACAATAACTGTGGTAAAAAATACATTACATAAAATTTATCATTGAACCACTTGTAAGGTACAGTTCAGTAGTGTTGAGTATTTGACATTGTTGTACAATTTCCAGAACTTTTTCCTCTGGGTAAACTGAAACTCTGGACTCATTAAACACTAACTCCCCCTTCTCCCCACCACACAGCCCCTGGCAAGCTCCATATTACTTTGGGTCTCTATGCTTTTGACCACTCTAGGCCCCTCATATAAACAGAATCATATAGTGTTTCTTTTTTTGTGACTGGCTTTTTCCACTTCGCATAACGACCTCAAGGTTCATCTATGTTGTAGCCTGTGTCAGAATTTCATTTCTTTTTTTTTTTTTTTTTTTTTTTTTTTTTTTTTTTTTTGAGACTGAGTATTGCCTGTCACCCAGGCTGGAGTATGGTGGAACGATCTTGGCTCACTGTAACCTCTGCCTCCTGGGTTCAAGTGATTCTCCTGCCTCAGCTTCCTGAACAACTGGGATTACAGGCGCGCCACCACGCCCAGCTAATTTTTGTATTTTTAGTAGAGACAGAGTTTCACTACGTTGGAAAGGCTGTTCTCGAATTCCAGACTCCAGGTGATCCACCTGCCTCGGCCTCCCAAAGTGCTGGGATTACAGATGTGAGTCATCGAGCCCAGCCCTAGAATTTCCTTCCTTTTTAAGGTTAAATAATATTGCATTGAATGAATGGGTGAATTTTATGGTATGCAAATCATAACTCAATAAAGTTTCTTTCTTTCTTTCTTTCTTTTTTTTAAAGAGGCAGAATCCAGAGCAGTAATTATTGGGCAGGGGGCAGTGAACAGAGGTGGGCATGCTGGAGGATGGGAGCCGGCGCTGTCCTGTTTCTTTGACCTCACTGCTGGTTAACTGGGTAGGTTCGCATTGTAAAAACTCACTGAGCTCCGCACTTCGGATCCTAGCTCTTCTCCACAGGTATTCATCTTCAATAAAACATTTTCTACGGAATCCCTATTGAGACAACTTCACAGTGTCATCCTGAGGCTCAAACAGCGCCTGGTAAACTACGAGCTGCCTGGCACCTGCGAGAGCTGTTGCGGTGATCTCGACGGCTGGTCTGAGTTTTAAATGCCCAGCTCCCCCTGGCCCCACGTCGCCAGGTTTTCTTGAGCTCAGTCCTGAGTCTCACTCACCCCACATTTGGGAAACATTTGACAGGATTCACTGTGTGTTCCAAATAAGCATTAATGAAAGAATTCCAAGTCTCGGCCCTGCCTGTCTGCCCTCTAGGCGACTCACACCACCGCTGTCCCCAAGCACACTTCCCACGTCCCCACTCTGCTGAGGCCGAGACTCACTCTGCAGGACGAGGATCACCACTTTCTTCACCATGCCCATCTCGTTCTCTGCCAGGCACTGGTACTGTCCCGCATCGTCCCTCTGCAAGTGGGCACAGAAGAGGGGGCACGGTGCTCAGAGAAGAAGACGAGCAGCTCAGACAGTTGGGTAGGGGACTGAGGCCAGCCAGCCAGCAAGGGGCTTAGGCTGTGGACCAGCCAGGGACACCTGATCCCCCACAGAGCATCGGAAGGGCCTCTGTGACCACTTGTCAGCAGACATGCAAAGAGAATCCAGCCCCTTTTCACACCCGAAAATGGGGGGCTGTGACTAAGGTCCCTGTTGCCTTAGGTGGAACAACTTGCTGGGAAAGCATGGTGTAGATCCACCTCTTCCAAACTGTGTACGTTGACATCTTACTGTCCCATGGCACATTATTTGAGACTCTTTGGAAAAAAGGGTTCCATGGTGAAGTAAGTTTGGGAGATAGTGAGTTAGATGACATGTTATGGTACTTTGGAAATCAATAACTATAGGAAAACAAGAACATTAGACACCTCTGTTGTACAAACAGGATGGCAGGCCCTCTCGGGGCATTTATGGTGCCAGTGTGCAAAGTGAGTCTTCCAGAAGGGAGACGGTTTGCAGTGTTGCCCTAACACGTGGCCCACGGATATGTGATGGAACTCAGGTGGCACGCTGGCTCACATCACTTCTGAGTGGCAGCACCACCATGAGATGGGGCTAGGGCAGTCTGAGGCCACCATCCACTCCCAGAAGATGGTATCTAGTGGGCCACACCCAAAGGACTCGGGGGGACTGCATGGCACAAAGTTAAGAGTGTAGGTTTGGAGGTCAGACCAACGTGGGACTGAATCCCAACCCCGCTGCTTACTGCCCTGAACCCATTACTTAGGACATTTTCATGCTTCTGGAGCCTCAGTTTCCCCTTCTGTAAAATGGGAATGATAACTGCTAGGATCTTATAAGCATTAAATGGAACAATGCTTGCTAAGTGCGAGGCCCCGTGCCTGGCCCAAGTTAGTACTTGGGCAACAGGTGTCATTACTACCACTGCTCTTACTCCTACTCTTATTACTAGTCCTATTATTATTACTACCCAGAGAAAGGCTCCCAAATGGGTAAGATCAAGGCCCCTAAGACAAACTTGAGTCAGGACTGACTTGGGGATTTCTGCACAATCACCAGAACTTGAGGCACAAAATGGAAGTTAAGGGGGCTGCCCGAGGGCCCAAGGCTTTGGAAACAGCACGGACCCTGAGGCAGGAAACCTGGGGGTGGGGGCCCTGCCTCCTGTACTTATTGGCTGTGGGCCTCTCTGAACTTCAGTGTCTTCGTCTGCAAATAGGGAGCACGATTACCTGCCTACCCTGCCCCTGAGGTTGTTAATAACAACATTTTGGGAGCATTACCCACAGATCACTCTTAAATAATGCGTATGAGACATCTCACTGGTTTCTAATTACAATCCTATGAGGTAGAACGAATTTGCTCCATTGAATGGGTGGATGACCGAGGAACAGAAAAGCCCAGTGGCCGGAGGTCAATATTGGTGGTAGTGGGAGGATGTCTGGGGAATGGGCAGGGAGGTGCTTTGTAGACTGCAGAAGCGGGGGGGCAACATGAAGAACCCTCTTGAGCAATCAGAAAAAGCATAGAGTTGTCCTTGGTGGCCCCACCCAAGGTGCCAGGCCCCGCCTTGCCTCAGTCCTGCGGATGGTCAGCGAGCCATTCCGCAGCTGGTGCCGGAGGCGGCTGCCCCGCAGTGGAAGGCCATCTTTGATCCAGCGGATGGCTGGCACTGGGTCTCCACGCGCCACACAGTCTAGCTGAATGCTGCCTCCTACAGGTTCCACCAGGTAGGAGAAAGCCTCCCCTTGTAGGACAGGAGCCTCTGCATGGGGTGACATGGAGCAAGCTGTCAGAAAAGAGGCTCCCTACAGGCTCAACCTCCCATAAACCCCAAAGGTCTGCCCAACTCCTGCCTCCAGGGGCTTCCAGAGGCTCCTGCTAGCCCAGCATGGTTGTGTGTAGTCAGTGCATCAGGGACAGCAAACAGTGTCCATGTCATGGGTCAAGTCACAAAGACTGGCAGTGGTTTCCAGGAACTGTGCTAAGAAGCATTTGAAGCTGAATGAGAACAGTGCTGTGATTGATTAGTGATGCCTGAGACGGGCACAGGCAGGGACGCAGTGCTGCGTGTGTCATACACTCTCTCACAGATGGATGACACTAGCAGCGGAGTACCTGCTCGGTACTTTGGAAATCAATAACTATAAAAAAACAAGAACCCTAGACACCTCTGTTGTACAAAGCAACACTATGAGATTCATGCTAATCTCAAAACACTCTTGGAGGCTCTGGACTGGCTTATATCCTTCCTGGTTTCCTGAGGTTGGATCTACCAAAAGCTGCAGTTCTCTTTTGGTGCCTGGGGCTGCTGATTCCCTCCATCCGGCCCCACCCATCCCGAAGTTGTGCAAACTAAGTCATGGCGTCACCGAGGGCTCCTGTGCTACTCTTGGTAGATGAGTAGGTCATAGGAGACAACCGGCTGGCTGGCAAGCTTCTGGCATTTTTCTGCCAGGATGCCCTGGCCCCCATGCTCTCCTTCTACCCTGGCACCATCCAGCTGCAGGTAGTGCTGTAGGGCAATTGGTCAGATTCCAATTCTACTTGCAGCCAGGGTCGTCTTGGGAGTGTCAAAAATACTGATGCCTAGGCCTCACCCCAGCGAGGCTGGTTTACAGAGTTGGAGGAAGAAGCTGGGCTTTGGAATTTCAAGTACCCCAGGGGATTCTAACATGCAGTCGGGGGGGGAGCCACTAGTTCAGAGGACAGGAGGCCAGGTTCTCAGGAAACCAATAGATTGGGTCCCAGTAGACTGGAGGTCTTGAGAGAGAAGCCACCTGGGAAATGCGCCTTACCCTTCACGTGGACGAAGCTGACCGCCTGCGTGCGGCCCACTCTGTTCTCCGCCCAGCAGACATAGGTCCCGCTGTCTTCTCTGGAGACAGAGGCCCGCTGCAGCGTGCTGCCTCCATCCTGCTCAGACACCCCTTCTGTGGTGGAGAAAGAGAAGCCCGAGGGGGACTCTGAGTCGGGTGCGGGGAACTCCTGCTCTCAACACTTCCCTGGTGCGTGGGTACCTGCAGGAACTTAATAAAAACGCAGAAACAGATGGGAGTCCCGGGTGAAGGCTAATCAAGCCAGACCCATTCCTGGGAGGCACAGGCCACACTGGAGGCTGCAGTTAATGAACCCTCCTTCTACCATTTTCCAGCGCACACTGTGTGTTTGATAAACGGTCAAGGGCAGGTCTTTGGGGACCTCTTTGCACAGGGCACTTACTGACACACTGCTACAATTTCTAGAGAGGATTCCCTTTTTTTTTTTTTTTTGAGACAGTTTCGCTCTTGCTGCCCAGGCTGGAGTGCAATGGCACGATCTCGGCTCACTGCAACCTCCATCTCCCAGGTTCAACCAATTCTCCTGCCTCAGCCTCCCGAGTAGCTGGGATTACAGGCATGTGCCACCACGCCCAGCTAATGTTGTATTTTTAGTAGAGACGGGGTTTCACCATGTTGGTCAGGCTGGTCTCGAACTCCTGACCTCAGGTGATCCGCCCGCCTTGGCCCCCCAAAATGCTGGGATTACAGGCGTGAGCCACCGTGCTCGGCCGAGAGAAGGATTCTAATAATGGACTTTTCCTTTGGGGTTGGCCATTGCTTCTAGGAGAGGAATATGGACAAGCATCACCATCAATTAGGCATCTCCTCTGGGCCAGGCCTGTGCTGAGCACAGCCCCTCCACTGTCATTCTGTCCTCAGGACCCCTGGTTATGTCCATTTGACAGATGGAGAGCGGAGCTCAGAGAGGCCGAACTATTATACTTGCCCAAGGTCCCTCCCCAAGAAGCGGTGGGGCCCAGCAAAGCCTTCACCACAGGTGTGCACGGGTATTCCACACCTGGGGACTCAGAGTTAGGAATGTGTGAAGTCATATCCTAATATAGGAAAGTATCATTTTGCAGTGGAGGGGACTTAGCAATTTATCAACTCAGCAGACACTGAGTACCCAGCAGGTACTCCACAGGCCCTGTGTCTCCCTAGACATCACCTGGGTTTCTGGTAGGAGGACAGAGCCCCCACAGCCCCCTGGCAAAAGGGGTTTGCTGAGGGTCCCACAATGGGAGCAGTAGCTCTGGGCTAGAACACAGGCCTCCCCGTCCTGGCCCTGAGGTCTCTAGGTTGGCTCTCCTTGGGCGGTCTCTGGCCAGCTCTGATATATGGCTTGTCACATATGGCCACAGCTGGGTTTGCCCTGTCCGCCTACATAGGGCCACATTGGAAGACCCAGAACCAACAGGGCTGACTGACAACCTCTTCCTTTCCACTAGGTTGGGTCTCCCCACCTGCCCTCCCTTTTTGACCTCCCGGGGTCCTGGCTCTCTTTCCCAACCACGCTCAGCAGACCCAGACCTGTGACTGGCCGGTCGTTGACAGTCCAGCCAATGCGAGGGGTGGGGCTGCCCCGGGCTGCACAGCGAAGCCACAGCCTGTCCCCAAGGCGCAGGCTGCGGTCCCCAGGCAGGGTGGTGAACACAGGCAGCGCCAGGATGGTGAGGTGCACACGGCGGCGGGCCCGGCCCACGGCATTCTCAGCGGTACAGGTATAGGTGCCTGCGTCCCGGCCCTGTGAGCAAAGAAAGGGGTTGGCCGGAGAACTTCCCCGACCTCAGCATAGGTCAGGATGCCGCTAACCCTTGAAGGTTCTCACGGAGCATCCAGCCCACAGAGGGGAAGTGACTTGCCCAAGGTCACACAGCTAGCAAACAGGTCAGCATCACCACCGCCACCGCACCCTTGCCCTGCCCTGTAGCGTTCACACGCTCTGCTGCTTCATAACCCCAGGGCTGACTGCATGATCGCAATAGCTACTGTTTACCAAACACCTACTGTGTGCTGCCCTGTGCTCAGAACTTGATCTGCACTGCAGGCCTTGCTTTTGGTGCCCTGATAGAGGGCCCAGCAGGGGCTCCAAGAGGAGGAGTTACGTGGTACACTCAAGCAGGGCTGGTGCGCTCGCCACTGCTCCACCAGGCTCCCCAGGTAGCTCGGTCCAATGCCCCTGACCCTTTTACGTGTGTCCACTGAACCCATCCGGAGAGGGTCGCTTCACAGAATTGCAGAATCTGATGAGTTCTGAGGGAAAGGGGGTCGGGGTCGGGGGTCCCACCCATACCCCCGGCTCAACACTCCCCAAAACCCAGAGGACAGTTAATGCGAATGCATGGTTGAGAACAACTGGGTAGGCTTTCGGGACACGAAGTCATCGCCACATCCCTGAGCCCTCCTTCCCCAGGAGCTGGCTGCCGAGGTCCAGGTTCAAATTTGGGTTCTGCCTCTTGGCAATGGTGGACAACTAGGTACACTTTGAGCCTTAGTTCTGGCCGTCTGTACCCGGCATGGTAACACTGATTTCCCCAGGCTCCCAGGGTTAAAGGCTGCACTATGCTCGGCGCAGAGCATGACAAACAGGGGTCTCAGCCATTATTCCCTGCTGTGCCCCTCGGGGCATGCCTCACCTCCAAGTTCTTCACCAGCAACTCCCCAGAAGGCTGGATGGTGAACTTCCCCTCGGCGCCTGACACAGGCTGGCCATCTTTGTCCCAGGTGATGTTGGGCTCAGGACTGCCCCTGGCCTTGCAAGGCAAGAATGCGTGGGAGCCTTCGGTGGTAGACAGGTCTGGGAGGCCATTCTCGATCACTGGTGGGACTGTGGGCAGAGGGAGGCCCACTCGGAACTGAGGCTGGGGGAGGTGGCTGACCCCATCCCAGGGCCCCTGGCCTTTGGCCCAGCCCTTCAGCCCTCCCTGGTCATCAGCTGCCCCCTCCAACTCCCTAGTCATAGGCCATTGCCCATACTCAGGATGATTTGGGGACTGCCTGAGTTTGGTGTAGCTGTGACGGTGATTCCATTGCACCTGTGCACACATGTACACACACACACGTGCACACACAGAGATGACTAAAGCCACAGGACAGAGGTCTTGGGCACAAACTCCTTGTACTAGGCCACCTCCACGGACAAAAGCAGGGCAGCCATCACAGAGCATCCCTGCAGAGGAGCTATGCTGGGCAGAGTGAGGGTCACTGGCTTGGTGTCCGGCTGGTCTGGTGACCAGCGATGCTCCAGATCTGAGGGGAGAGGAGCACGCTGGACAAGGAGGTGTGGAGGAAGCCTGGAGCCCCTCTGAGTTCACAGCCAGAGTCCGACTCTAGCCCTACACAGCTGCGGGCGGGGACAGCCACTGAGATACCACAAAGCAGGCCACTGGGGCCAAGACACGACCAGCCCATACTGAATATTCCCAGCAGACTTTGCAGATTTTTGGCCAATGATGCCACCTTATCTCTGAAGCCAATGATTAATCAAACTAAGGGAAGGGCACATGCAATGGTGTGTGTGCCAGAGCAGGGCCAGAGAGGCTGCAGCTGCTGGAAACCGGAATGAATGAGGGATGCTGGACTCATGTTCCACAGGGCTAGAGAGAAGGCAGAGGGGATGGGAGTTTACGTCTGAACCCAGAACTCAGGTGCACAATGAGAGAGGTTCCCCTTAATTCCTTCTAGAACTGTAAGCAGTGTGCCCTGCCAGGCAGGGAAGGGAGAAGCCTGCAGGAGCCTCAAAGCCCTTCAGTTGCCAGGGCCCACCTCGGGCCCGTCTTCACACCCACCTTGCACCACCAGCCGTGTCTTCCCCATGGCGCTGCCTGCACTGTTCTTGGCGATGCAGAGATAGTTTCCAGCATCCTCCGGGCTGGCATGGGCAATCCGCAGCTGTCCGCCCGGTAGGACCTGGGTACTCACTCCTGAATGAGGAAGAAGAAAATCGGGGGCCAGGGAGCTGGGGTGGGGGACCTCCGAGGTGGGTAGATTGGGCTATTCCGTCTCACAGGCAGCAAATGACTTGCTGGGGTCACAGAGTGACCAAGGGACAGAAGGAGCCAAGAAGCCTGACCCCGAGCCCAACCCAGTTGCCTGCTCCCGACCTCCCAACTCAGCCACCGAGTGCTTGGATGGCGTCTCAGGCCGTGGTGACAGGAGAAGGGTTGGGGAGGGGGAGGCCAGAGCAAGGGTGGGGGCGTGTCTGGGCAGGCCAGGGGCTTTCCAGGACCTCTCAGCAGGTCTGCGGGGTCTCCCAGGGCAGGAAACAGGAACCCCCCAGGCCCACACTCTTCTCTTCCCTTCCCAGGCTGGCTGCCAGGGGCCCTCACCCGCAAGGACATTGAGCCCTTCCTTCTGCCAGGTGATGGTCGGCCGGGGGATGCCTGAGGCCTCGCAGGGCAGCAGCACCTCCTCCTCTGCCACTGCCCGAACCACGCTGGGCAGCGGCTTCACCACTGGGGAGGCTACAAAGGACAGGGGTGCAGAGGGCCCTGAGAATGTCCATAACACAGCTCCTCCAACCAGGGGGCCTCGGAGAGCATCAGAGAGAGAGGCCTCTAAGGAGGACAGGGGTTCTAGAAACATCGGCCACAGCAACAAGGACGCCATGGCTGATTCTTTTCCTCCCAAAGAATCCCATGAGAGACACGTCTGGGCCTCTGAGACCTCACCTCCCTCCTGAGCCCCACCTGCCTCTGGCTCTCCACCTGCTCCCCTGGCCCTAGGAACTCTGGGGTCTGGACCATAGACTCTTACCTTGCACGGTGAGGAAGACGTGCTTGTGGGCGACGCCGGCAGAGTTGCGGGCTGAGCAGGTGTAGCGGCCTGCATGGATGGGGAGGGCCTGCCCGATCTCCAGGGCGCCTGCGGGTGGGAATCAGAGTGAGGGGGTCAGGACAGAGGTCCCCAGGGATGGAGGTGGCAGGGCTCCTACACAATCCCATTCTGTCTCTGGTCACTCAACCTGCCTCCTTTGCTCATTTAAAAACAGTCTGGGGGATGTGACTACACGGGAAACTGGCGTCTAGGTTTGCCTCTGTGCCCTGTTCAAAGCAGAGGCATGGGCGAGTTCCTTCCACTCTCTGGACCTCAGTTTCCCTGTGTGTACAATGAATAATCAGACAAGATGGTCTCTAGACCCTTTTGGCTGTAAAGTTCCAGGATCTGTCACTCCCCTGCCTGTAATCCCCCGCTCACAGTTCCACACCCTGCTATCCTCACCTTGCTCTGCTAAAAACTCACCTCCTCTAGGAAGCCTCCCAGGATTACTGCCTCCTCTCCTCCCTTTATCCTCCCGACCTTAGCCTTGGTTACTCAGTGAACACCATTTTAACCTTCCCAGACTGCAGGCTGCACCTGGGCAGTGAAGTGATGAGGATTGTAAATTGTGCTCCGTGGAACCCTGGGGGCCTGCTGGGTGGGGGAAGGGAGCAAGGCCCACAGCACTCTGGCCCACCCGCAGCCTGCCCCAGCCCCAGCTGGAACCAGAACTGTGGTTTGTTTTACCTGTTGAACTTTGTTGTTACCACTTATACTTATCGGAAAGAAGTTTTTGTTTTGTATTTTGTTTTGAGACAAGGTCTCACTCTGTTGCCCAGGCTGCAGTACACTGGTGCAATCATAGCTCACTGCATCCTTGAACTCCTATGCTCCAGCAATCCTCCCACCTCAGCCTCTCAAGCAGCTAGGACCACAGGCACGCACCACCACAGTCGGCTAATTTTTTAAAATGTGTTTGTAGAGATGGGGTCTTGCTGTGTTGCCCAGGCTGGTCTCAAACTCCTGGCTACAAACAGTCCTCCTGCCTCAGCCTCCCAAAATGCTGGAATTATAGTGCACGAGTCCCTGTGCCCGGCCTGGAAGGAAGTTCTATTGCTTCAGAAGAGTTTGAAAATCACAGGTCTGGCCAGTGGTTCCTAGACTTTAGGATTTCGCTAACCAACTAACAAACAAATTTGGACACTCTCCATAAAGCTTCCAACGGTTTATTTTGACAAGCAAAGACATTTAAAAAATCACCAAGTTAGGCTGGGCGCAATGGCTCATGCCTGTAATCCCAGCACTTTGGGAGGCTGAGGCATGCAGATCACAAGGTCAGGAGATCGAGAC